ACACCCGGAGTCCCGAAACCCGGAGTTCAAAATTCGGGACTTAACATTTCATATGGGACATCTTTCAAAAATGTTTAAATCAACCTTTCATCTGTCCATACACATTTTACCAACTCCCGAACCTCGAAATTGTGGACTGCCGGGTTTCGGGTTTCGGGGTTCGGTGGTCCCGGAACTCGGAACTCGGAACTTGGGAAATTTGGGGAGATCAATAAAATATACTTTACAATCGAGTTGATTGACGGACACATTGACTTACCCGTGTATGAAATATATTTTTGTCTCACATACCGAGTTCCGAGTTCCGGGACCCCCGAACCCCGAAACCCGACACCCGGCAGTCCACAATTTCGGGTTTCGGGGGTTGGTAAATCTCGGTTTGGGGTTTTGCACTGAAAAGTTGACATTTATACGTATCCAGGCTCACCCATATATGTACCCATCTATGTACAATTCCCCCACGTCAGCCCACCCATCTATGTATTATCCCCCACGTCGGCCCACCCGTCTATGTAATACATCCTATGTTGGCCCACCCGTCTATATAATACATACTACGTCGGCCCACCCGTCTATATAATACATACTACGTCGGCCCACCCGTCTATATAATACATACTACGTCGGCCCACCCGTCTATATAATTATACCCCACCTCGGCCCACCTGTCTATGTAATAAATATTTTATCACACCCTCGGCCCACCCGTCTATTTGATATCCCTTTCGTCGGCCCACCCGTATATGTAATACTTTTTATGTCGGCCCACCTGTATATGTAATACACCCCGCGTCAGCCCACCCATCTATGTAATATTCCCCTACCTCGGCCCACCCATATATGTAATACACCCCCGTCGGCCCACCCGTCTATATAACAATATTTGCCTTACATCTCTCTTCAGCCCAGCTGTCTATAATATCCTACTCTACATATTACCCTGATGGGCCCACCCATCTCCATGAATGATCATATTCCCCCGGCCCATCCGTCAACATCAAGGATATATATATCATTGGCATACATGGGCCCACCCGTCTCCATCGGAAATAATATGTGTCCCGGCCCATCCGTCATCATCGAGAATATACACAACATGGGCCCATAATCCGCTGGCCCGTCTCATACGGGATATTATGTAGGTCGGGTGGCCCGTATAATACGGAATTTGTCACTGAAGGGGCTCTGACATTCCACCATTTACAGACTAATACCAGATAGCTAACCTCTCGGGTCGAACGCACTTGTCTACAAGTATAGCAGACTAGGCCGCGCAAGACCACAACATTATTATATTGCTGATTACTTACTTCGTGTAGTATCCAGCAATCGTTGTCTCGTTACAGCGGATTCCATGACCCTGTAGCAGCTGAATGCCGGCTGCCTTAGTTGCACTTGACAGTCTCTTGAGGAAGTTTGTCTTTGTGAGAGGGCGGTGGGAGGCTTTGTGACGGTATGCGAAGAGTGCTGTATCTGGGGGAGGGTCGTTGACACGTATATGGTTGCGTAGAGCTTCTTCTGGGTCCGCGAGTCCGGACTGGCGCGCCCAGAAAACATCCTCCCCTTCTATCGCTATCTTAGTGCGTGGGATATGGAAGTTGGTCATTTCGAGACCTTGACGATCTTGCGTGTTTCTAACATCTGATGGTTTGATGTGGAGCTTGGGGTTGAAAGCATCTAAATGGGGAACAGTGAATTCCCTGATGCGCGCGCATGTGAAGAAAATTGTCGTGAGACAAGTGAAAACAGCTGCGTCGAGGGGATTGCTGATGTCCAGCTTCTGGTCAATGGTCAGTATCAACGGAATGGTGTAGGGGTCTCTTTTCGGTTTCTTTGACGAAGCCGGGGTTAGGGAGATGGCTGCTTTGAGCAATGTGTCGATCTGTGTCGTCTCCAAGCGTCCATGTGACACCGTGCAATGTGTGCCATGCTCTGACACCATAGACATAGTTAGCTACGGTTCTTCCTGAATAATGTCCGGCCATTTCGGTGATAAAAAGGGATATCAGGACGTGGCTCGCAGGTGCGCGTTGGTCTTCTGGAATTAGTTTACTGTCGCAGAAAACGTGGTATACCAGTAGCCCTGACCCGTAGGTCTCCCGCGTGCTCTCCGCGTATGCGTGCAACATGACGTCGCGGATCTTCTCTACCTCCGCCTGAGATATTGATATCCGTTTGCCTTGGGCATCCTTTGGGGATTGCGCTGATGTGGGTACCCATAGGTATAACCTGTCTTTCGCCGGGCAGTGTGGTCTGAGAGGTGAGGGCAGTGGTGACAGGTCAGCGTTATAGGCTGCTATTCTGTCAGCAGGGTCAGTGCGCGTGTGCTGGTGTGCACGTACTAATCTTTCGACGCTTCGAAGAGTTCTTCTCCACGGCGCTCGAACTCATGGTTGAGGAAGGTGCGTCATTGGAGCTTGTCTGGCTGGTGCTCTTTGACCATTGAGAGAATCTGTTCGTGCGACGGTCTGGGATGCCGTGACCTGTTCTCGACGGAGCTGCTGGAGACGTCTGCGATGAACGGACGGAGCTCAATGGGGATGGGGATTGGTGGGAGCATCTGGCATATGGGGGGATATACGCCGCGGGAGGGTCTATCTGCGGGGTTGGCTTTGCTTGGTACGTATCTGGTGAGGATTGTGCACTGAGTGTTGCTCGCGGCAAGGTGTACACGTCTGAAAACCTCATTGCAGGCCTTGTTTCTGCTGCGGCCTGACCACCAGCCTTCGACAACCCCGCGATTGTCTCCGAAAACCTTGAAATAAATGCCGGCGGGGCAGGCACTGAGGATTGTGAGGACCAGGAGCTCGAAACCGACGCTTTCAGCCCAACCGATGTCTCGGTTGTTACCTTTCCAGCCCGGAAGTAGGTCCCATGCTCTCCATTTCCCGTCGATGAAGATTCCGATCCCGTGACCAGAGCTAGCGTCCGAGTAAGCATGGAAGTCGTATGCAATACAACAACCTGGGATTGTGCACGATAGGTTTTGTGAGCTGAGGGTTTTCCTCCACCAATTGAGGTCCTTTGTGGTGTCGTGCGGAGGAGTGCGAGGTAGGAATGGGCGGTTTTGAAAGATTCCCAGCATCCATTCCAAATTGGTGAGGTAGGCCCGTCCGGCCGGTATGACGTGTGCCGCATGCAGCAACTTCCCATACAGCTTTTGTACTTCTTGCAGGGTGTGCGTGCCTCGAGTCTGCCACGTGTCAATGGCCTCGACGTACTTGGTTGTTTTTTCCGGGGATAACGATATTGACAGGTCAGGGATGTCCCAAAGGAATCCCATGAAGTTGGGGTCCGGTTTGAATGACTTGTCCTTCGACGTTTCCCAAATGATCCCCAAGGGCCGGGAATGATCGTCGATGTCCGCCATGCAGCAGGTGAATTGTGCGTCCTCTGCCGAACGAGGCAATGAGGTTGAGAGATCCCTGATCGGGAACGTGCAGTCCTCATCGAATTCCTCGTGTGAGTCGTCCGGCATCGTCTCACCTCTATACCATTTTCAGCCGCATTCAATGATGGGGCCTCCATTGGAGGCGATTTGTGCTGCCCATTTCTTACGTCTTTCATTATATTCCAATAGAAATTCTCGCCTAATGCGGAAAAATAAATAATCATCCACCCATTTCGACAAGGGACTGAGTCCCGAGGCACGAAATATGTCCGCCCCGGCATCTGCGATGTTGCCGTAGGTGCCTGCTGAAGGGCCGAACCCAAAACATAGAGCCGTGTCCACCGCGAACACGTCTTTGCCTGGTAGGCGAACGACCAATCCGGCCCATTGAGAATGGTGCGACGGGACCATTCGATATGCTTCGGCCACGTCGCGAACAGCCGCTTGAGATCCCGGCTGTAAGCTTCGGATGTATCTGCAAATAGTGGCGAAGGTGCTGTATGTACATGGGAATAGGTTTGAGTCAACTCTCGAATTAATTGATCTGATGGGGGGGGATGGATTAATGGGGAAGGATAGGTTCTGTATGAGTCGGAATTTGCCTGGTTTACCGGGTTTGGGGATAATGGACAGTGGTGACGTCTGAAACGGTCCAATGATCGATTCGAGTTCCTTAGTTGAGAATGGGCCGATGAAGCGGTCTTTGGTAAACTCAGTATTAACAATATTTTGAAAAGCTTCTGCATGTACAACGACTGATGCATTGTTGGGAGGGGCATACGTGTGCTCAATAACGGGAATACCTCCAGAGAATCCTGTTTCGAGACAACCTGGGATGTGCGGGTATTTGCTGCTAAGATTGGACGCTTCCAGCATCTGGAGCCATGCCTTCGGGTGGTACGGGGTGAGGGCTCTATGCCTTCTCGCCTCGAGGGCAAGTTTGGGCTCCATGGTCTTTGTTGCCACAACCTGAACATATGTGGGCCGAGTTGTGGTTCTCTGCTGTGCATCCCCCGGGTCTCTGCCACCTGTAACAGAGGGGGAGACCGTTCGTGCTGATGATCCGCCCGTCCTGTGTTCGGCGCAAATGGGCTGGGGTGGTTTTGTCCCACAGGTTGGAGGAGTCGCACTGTTGGATGTTGTGTGAGAAGCGGCCCAGACATATGGCATAGGCGGAACGGCCGCGAGAACCTGCGCCGTGGGAAAAACCCTTGTTGCATTGCTCTTGTTGCTTGCCTTTGTCCCTCGACGGGGATCTGTCTGTCTTCTTCTGGTTGCCTGCTTGAACAGGAGAACGCGAATGTGATGACCTTCGTCGTGTGTCGGGTGAGTCTCTGTAGGTACTCCTACGGTGCTGTTGTTGGGACGGTGGTGACTCAGTGCTGTTTGTCTGTGCTGGTTGATCCTGTTGGTATGAATCGAGCGTTGGCGTAAGAGAGGGTGCAGGCATCCGCGTGAGAAGAGATGTGGGCATCCGTGTGAGATGTGATGCGGGCATCCACGTGAGCATGAAGTGGGCATATGTACGTCAGGGTACAGGGAATGAAGGGTCAAGGTTGCGGTAGCAGTTTAACGAGAGAGGTGTTTATATAGGGATATTTGTGAGTTGCTAATTCTGTGACTAGGTAGGGGTTTGTATGCACCATGACCAAGGTTCTCGAATGCACTCTATCCCATATTTCCTCGTTTATAGACCGTAGCAAGGTCTCGTTAATGATACCAATGTTGAAGCCTTTGTCGCGCTTGAGGTGATCGTGCCAATCCAGGCATACCCGGGATGCATAGTGCATAATGACTAAGTCTCCGAGTTCGCTATTGTTGCGGATGGAATGGTTCTCCAGGTGCCAAAAGAACAAGGCGAGGGCGTCTAGGTGGGTTTGGGGCCACTTTGCCGCGTTGGCCTGGGTAAGGAATAGGTTCTTTGCCCGGAGGAAAACGGAAAATGATAGTTCATGGTCCGGGATCGCCGACCTCGAAGCTTTGAATGCTGAGGATGGGCGGATGGTTAGTTGGTCGTTGAGCTTTGCTAAACTGAAGGTGTCATCAGCCATGGAACGAGACATTTTCATGGCCTCCTTGCATCCCTCTGGGGAGAAGTACCATAATTCTACGTATTCGAAGTTGTTCAGTTTCTGGATCGCATATTGGGAGGGACGAGGAGCGATGGCGTCGCCGACGGTGGCTGTTGCATTGAAACTATTCATCTTGGGCTTCTTCTTCTCCAGCTCGAGGTGATCTTTCTCGGCTTCCGCCTCTTTCGCTATGTGTTCTTCTTCCTCGTGGGCTGCTTGAGCCCGTTCTATTTCGGCCTCTTCTTGGGCCTCCTCATCTCGTTGATGGTTCCATTCGAGGACTCTCGCTTCATGATCTACTACCCACACATTTCTCAACCTGTCTGCTACTGCTTGGTGTGTGGAACCGGTTGCATTGACTAGGTCTTCACGGATGGCTGCGAACAAGTCACCGGTGAAGTCTGGACATACTTCAAGGGAAGGGTCAGCCATGACGGGAAAAGGGATTGATGTTTCTTAATTAGCGGTTCCATATGTGATTTCTTTTGACGGAGCTCAAACAGAAAAGGGCACTTCTTAAGAAAGATGGAAAGGAAAAGAAAGTGCTATGTCGACAAAGTGCACGGGGTGAACTGTTCGTCGTGGTGAAGAAGCAAGATGCATAAAAGCTCCGCTTGCCGTTTGCTCAAAGACTTAACTCTATTGCCTCCGGTCGTACCTCGCTACGTACATAGAGTGGCAACACGAGTCATGTTGACACATTGATTGGATAGGAATCTACTGCCGGAACATTCGCGTTTCACTCAAAGTCATCTTCGAGTCTCCGTATGAGTTAAAAACCTTATTACTTATTGTTGAAGTGCGCAAGCTGAGAACATACGTGCTTACAAAGCACGAGTAGCGGACTTGTTTTGAGTTTTTCAGAGAAAACATATGATATATATAATATATGTAGGAGATTTCCAAAATATTATTCATTCTAGTGCTCCTATTATCAGTCATCTGCTTGTACTCGACTGTTATCATAATCCTAAGCTTGTAGCCTCCGTCCTAAGAGGTTATGAGCCCTGTCGTGCGCAAATAAGATAATAAAACATATAACAGACGAGAACTAACCAAACAAAATGACGGATCAATCTGCCGTCGGCTCCTCGCTATCGTCGTTATATCAGATCGAGCATTTAAACGACTCTAATTGGCTAGGCTGGAAATGCCGAGTCAAAGCCATCATGTTCGAAAAGGGAATAGAAGGGTATGTTGAAGGTACCATCCCCAAACCTGCGTGAGGCCCAGACCCTGTTTCGGCACAAAGGGAAGCTGATATAGCTAAATGGGAGATGCAAGACTGTAAGGCCCAGACTGTGATTGAGCTGTCAATAAGTGATAGCCAAATGATTCACTTAGCTGGAGCCTCAACGGCGAAAGAGATGTGGGATCAACTGAGGATCGTGAAAGAATCACGAGGCAAACAGGCGATAACCACATGGCAGCAAAAGTTCTATCGAACTACCGCCGACGAAGGTGATGACATCCCCATGCATGTCAAAAATATGAGGGAAATACAAGAGACCTTACATATGATGGAAAGTCTGGTAGCAGAAGACGACTTCTGCACTGTACTTATTCCGTCATTACCGGAATCCTGGGACACCTTCACCACAACACATCAAATTAGGATGGGCGACACGAAGACAATCACGTCGCACGAGTTAATCTCCCTTATCTTAGAGGAGAACTCGCAGAGGAAAGAGAAAGATGGCAAAGGCAAAGGGAAGGAGAACACACTTGTTGTCAAAGGAAAGAATCTAGGAAAGAGGAAGCGAGAAGATGTGAAGAAATGTCGCATTTGTAAGAAGATGGGCCACGTTGAAGCTGAGTGTTGGTTCAAGGATAAACAATGCTCTAACTGCGGAAAAGCGGGACATATTAAAGAGAATTGTTGGAGCAAAGGCGGAGGAAAGGCAGGGCAAGGCCCGTCTAAACCCCCTCCAAAGAAGCGCGGAAAATTTGACAACACGCGCATCGCAGCTGATGCAGATGACATTGCAAACAACGCACAATACAAGCCTGAGGAAGATGTAGCCTTTATAGGCGAAGAGATACAAGTCGAACCAAATATTGAGACCGAGAACCAGGCAGAAGTCGAGGTCGAAGATCAATATATGTACGACCAAGTCAATGTATCAAATAATAGTGATGAATTCGAGAAGCTTAGCTATTATGATTGGCTAGCAGACTCAGGAACAACATCACACATTACTAAGATTCAATCCGCATTGACGGACTATGTCCCATTAAAATGTCATAAGGTCAGTGGGATAGCTAATGAATCCCTAAGAGCTGAAGGACACGGGACAGTTGAACTAGTAAGTACAATAAACAAGCAGCAGGTAACCTGCAAGCTTAAAAATGTCCTATATGTACCACGTGCCTCAAATAACCTCGTGTCTATCACATGTTTAGACCGAGAAGGAGGACACGCTATAATGAAAAAAGGAAAAGTAACCTTGAAAGTGCGCGGGAAGCGCACAATTGCTGAAGGGAAGCTATACAATGGATTATATCTATTAGAGACTCGGGCGAAAATACAGTCAGTGACAAAAGTAAACAATGCCTGAGAAGAGCAACCCACAGATTGGCTTACCTGGCACAAGTGTTATGGACATATAGCTTTTAGCGGTCTTAAACGGCTACACAAAGAACGATTAGTAGAAGGTATGAATATTGACGAAAATTCATCTATACCACAGTGCGAAGCCTGCATACAGGCAAAACAAACACGCGACTCATTTCCGCGTAATACTGATAGTCGTTCTGGAGCACTCGGAGAACTCACACACAGCGATGTGTGGGGTCCGGCAAGGGTACAGTCGATAGGTGGATCTAAATATTATATCTCATTTATCGATGACTGCTCCCAAAGAAGCAGTGTCGAGTTCATGAAACATAAAAATGAGGCGTCCACAAAGGTCAAACAATATGCGACGTACCTGAAAAAACACTGGCACAATCAACCGAAAAAATTCCGGGTAGACAATGGAACAGAATACGTGAACAATGACCTAATAACTTGGTGTAAGAACGAAGGGATTGAACTTGAGACAACTGCACCATACTCACCAGAGCAAAACAGGGTGTCTGAAAGATTCAACCAAACATTAGCCGAACTAGCACGAGCGATGCTAATAGAGAAAGACTTACCAGAGTCTTTATGGGCGGAGGCAGTATCACATGCCGCATATATTAGAAATCACGTGCCCACATGAGCGCTACAAGGCGCAACGCCAGAACAATTATGGAATGGTAAAAAACCAAATGTAACACACTTACAGGAATTTGGAGCGCCAGTGTATGTGCTTCAAGAGGGCACATCTCAATCAAAAATGAGTCCAAAGTCAGTAAAGCAGATCTTCGTCAGATTTGCAGACGGACCACGAGCAATAAAATACTATAACACTAGGACGCACCAAATCCGTGTATCCCGGAACTATAAGTTCCTGACTAATGTGCCACCAACAATTGCACCCGATACGCAGCGCGAGGGGGAGACAGAAAGAGTAGACGCACAGCCATCAACTAGCGCAATACCTTCTGCACCTAATGTACAGCGTGAGGGGGAGACAGAAAGAGTGGACACACAGTCTAGTAAAAACCGTTCAAGTTCAAATGAAGATCAGCGTGATTATATAATGGGAGAGGCAGAAAACTCACCCTTAAAAAGAAAATGTTTTCCTGAAGAGGAAGACGAAGATAATCTGCCCAGAAGATCAAAAAGACAAACAGTAAGACAAGATTACAAACAACTGAATGACCCAGAACCAGAATGGGCTTACTTCGAGTACGAATGACATGAACTTGAGGAAGAACTCTACCAAGAGGATATAGTTCTTGCCGCCATTGCCGCAAATGGCAGCTTTGAACCGCACAAGCCAAGGTCACTAAAAGAAGTGCAAACATCAGATGACTGGCCAAAGTGGGAACAAGCGGTGCAAGCAGAACTTACCCAATTGGAGGAAATGGGCACTTGGGAGTTAGTAGACCCTCCAAAAGATCGCACTCTAGTCGGAAATAAATGGGTCCCCGTTAAGAAAACTAATAAAGAAGGGGAAGTGGTCAAATATAAGGCACGGTTAGTAGCGAAAGGGTACTCACAAATACCGGGCATGGACTACACAGATACCTTTGCACCAGTAGTGTGCCTAGAAACGATATGTTCAATAATGTCCACAGCCGCATCCCTTGATTGGGAAGTGCAACAGATGGATGTAAAGGGGGTGTACCTTAACGGCGTACTGAAAGAGGAAGTGTATATGAAACAGCCCGAAGGCTACAACAACGGAACCAGCCGAGTATGTCGACTGTGAAAGACCCTTTATGGGCTAAAACAGTCAGGTAGAGAATGGAATCTCGAGCTAAATAGCCGCTTGATGAGTATTGGATTCAAACGACTGAAATCCGATCTGTGTACCTACATCAGAAAGACCGCGGAAGGAACAGAAATAATCACCATATGGGTCGATGACCTGTTACTATTCGCGGATCACTCGAATCTGATGGATCAATTAAAAGCGCAACTTAAAAATATACTCGATGTTACTGACCTTGGAGAACCGAAAAAAATTGTTGGGATCGAGATTACTCGAGATAGGTCTAACAGGTCAATGCAACTCACACAGACCAAATACATCGAATCTATCCTAACAAAACAAGGTCTTCAGTCATGTAATTCAGTAGGTATGCCGCTGGATCCAAAGATTATACTTGAGAAAGAAGCGACTGATCAGGAGGGCAACCAAAGTAACAACTATGCGTCACTGATCGAATCGCTGATGTATTTGGTGGTAGCCACACGTCCAGATATTGCATATGCTATACAATTTACAAAAACTTAGCTTGTTTACTGCGAACCCAGGATTAGCACACTGGGTAGCAGCGAAACATGTCTTAAGGTACTTAGCGGGAACGCGAGAGCTCGGAATCAAGTACCAAAGTACTACAAAATTCGACAAGACCCAAATTCGTTTTGTTGGATGGTCGGATGCAGATTATGTGAACGACCCACGAGACCGGATATCCATATCAGGATATGTCTTCAAACTAGGAGGCGGAGCGATAACATGGAGCTCAAAGAAACAAAACACAGTCTCACTTTCGTCAACAGAAGCTGAATACGCTGCGATGGCTCATGCTGCACGTGAAGCTGCTTGGCTCCGGAATTTGTTCGAGGAATTAAACTTACCTCAGAATGATCCAACCGTCCTTCACGGAGACAATATGTCTGCGCTCGCGATTGCGTGAGATCCACAGTACCATTAAAATCCAAGAACGGGTGATTCACGAACAGTACTGCCGCACTGATGAAATGATTGCAGATGTGTTGACAAAGCCATTGCATAAGCCGAAACATTGTAAGTTTACCAATGATTTAGGCATGACCTCGGCTTGAGGGGGAGTGTTGAAGTGCGCAAGCTGAGAACATACGTGCTTACAAAGCACGAGTAGCGGACTTGTTCTGAGTTTTTCGGAGAAAACATATGATATATAGAGTATATCCCCGGGTACCACCTGGGCGTGGTGACCTCGCTGGTGACCCCCGCCAAACCTAAGCGGAGTCACCACCTGTGTACACGGCTCGTCGCCGGCGCCAAGTCAATCAATGGCAGCCAAAAAAAATATTCAAACTCCGATCGATCTTGCCCCTCTCTCCTTTGTGTGCGCTGCTGCCACTGCCATTGTCGTCGTCCCAGCAAGTCCGTTCGTGCCGTTCATTTCTTTTCGTATTCCTTTCGTTCTCTGTCCCTTTGGGTGCTGCTTTGGCAGCGTGGTGGCAAGCACTGATGCAGCTGACGAGGCTCCTGGCTTTTGGCCCTTTGTGGGGTGGGTCTACGTGAGACCCGGGCACGCTCACTACCGCCAAGGTAGTACCAAGGTCTACGTGAGACCTGGGCGTGCCCCGTTGCCATTGGGGGGGTGGAATCAGTGCAGGTGTGTGTTGTGCCATGTCCGCCATGCAAAACCAATGTTCGATGCTTTCATTCTGAACGCTAGTGTCGTCAGCACCATCTTTCACTCTCTTCGGTCCGTTCTTTTCTACCTATCTACTTTCATTCAATCCGGTACGTGTCTTTCACTTTGGCCGTCCTTTCCATTTTGACCATTCTTCACAGTGTTACATGCGGTCCGAAATGTCTACTTTCATTCAATCCGGTACGCGTCTTTCACTTTGGCCATCCTTTCCGCTTTGACCATTCTTCACTCCTTCGGTTCTGTCCTGGAACACAAGGGTCGCATACTATGCTTCGGTGAGTGTCTTCCAATTCTTGCATTCCTTGCATTCTGACCTATTTTGGAGTCTCAAGTGCACTGATACTGTGGACTTTCAACTTTCACCATCCACAGTCCCCAAGGCTCGTGTTCTCTTTATTCGTCCTATTCTTCTTTCTTGAAGTTCTGTCCCCGGCACGCAAACGTGCTCCAGTAAGTGTCTTTCAATCTGTCCAGACCTTGCATTCTTTCTGCTCTGACATTTCTCATAGTTTTAATATTTTCAGCCTTTCCGTTTGTGAACTCGCGCTCTGTCCTCTCTCATGCTACTTTGCTGCACGTCTGACTCTCAAGGTAATGTTTAAGATTTTTTATTGCTGACGGTCCTGCACTCAACTGAGCGATTGCTAGTGTACTTGGCAGTGAATCCACCCACGGCATTTGTTACCCGTTGGACAGTCATGCAAGCAATCCAACATGGAAAAGAATGGAAGGGACGGCACTAACGCACTAGACTGTAGGTCCTGTCTTTTCATTAGTTCCGAGTGTCAATGCTTACGTGCATGGCTTTCCATTGGCGGCTTTCAGGTTATTGCCTGTCTCAGCACCGCTGTCAATTACTCTGTGCTCCCACATTGCAATTAACGGACCCGAGCTGAATCAAATCAGCCCGCTGCTTTAAAAGCGCTTCATTACCAGCCTTTGCCATTATTCATACCAGTGCTTACCTATGTCATCGGCTCATAGCATCCACCGTGCATCTTCGCCCCCCTGCCTCCCTCCACCAAGTCCAAAGCGGCCACGCATGGAGCCATTCAACACTCTGGTGGTTTCCCCACACATGGAACGTTCGCTCAGCATGCTTGAGCAGGAATCCCATGAGCTGCGGCTGAGGATTGGAGAAAAGGAGCTTGAGGGGAAGGGCACAGCAAAGAGCTACCCACGGCAGGTTCAGAACTATCAGCTGTGGTTTGATGCAGACCAAGCACGCACTGCTGCTGTGGACAGCACACGAGTTCTGATTCCTGCCTTTCCTGTGACTGCTGTGAAGGTGTCGATGTTCCTCCACCATGAAACCACACATGAGAAGGTAACTATCTGATTCACATTAGTTCGAATTCTCTTCTGACACCTCTTTCTAATGCTCAGTACAAGCGCAGGAGCAAAGACTTAATCCAAGGCTCATCCCTTGGGAAATCTCACATTGCACAGGTCATCAACGCTCTTGAGAAGTACTGCCTCAACCACTCACACTCTTACCCACACGACCATGAGACGCATGTCAGCCTGCGCAGGGATCCACGTATACGTGCGTTCGAGTCAGCATCAAGGCACCATGAGCCGAAGAGAGTTGAGAAGTCACAGACGGTGAAGGCTGCTGGCACAAGTTCTGGTGAGCGTTGGTCACTGCGTCCCTGCCTGCTGCTGACAGTAACCATTGATCAGACACATACACCAAGGCTGAGCTCATCCGCTGCTCTCTCTGGTGCCTCACAGACTTCTCAGGGCCGCAATATATCTTTGTTGGCATCCGTGATCGTGCAATGCTGCTGGTATCGGCTGCAACAGCCTTTCGAGGGGAGGGCTGCCGTATGCTGGAGTGGTCAGACCTCTTCCCAGCGACCGTTCCACTGGACCAAAACAATGAGATCCAGGTGCGTGCGCTCAGTTTCAATACTAATGCCTGCCCCTTCCTCATTCTCTTGTGCAGGTCCTTGCTGCACTGGCAGACAATGCGAAACATAACCAGACAGGCCGTGTTGATGAGCATGGGGCCATACGACATGTCCATGCTGAGCTCTGCCCTGTTGGCACGCTTGCATTCCTTTTTTTCGCACACTTCCACATCCTCAACTGCGCCCCTCCTGACTTTGCCCCTGAATTTGCCAACAAGAACTATGGCAAGTATGGCCGCCAGGAGTGGTATGACTACCACGTCTTTTACACAGGCAGCCCGACCAAGGAAATGACCTATGAAAGTGAGTTGCAGCGGGTGCCCTTGACTAACTCAGATCGGCTGACATGAAAATCATTGTGTCAGACCATCGCGACCGCATCACGACCATGCACATGAAGAACAATGTTGACATCACAAAGAAGACTCATGCTGGCCGCCACTATGCTGCGCAGACAGCACGCGCACATGGTGCCAGTGTGAATGGCACCAAGGCACTCGGTGGCTGGAGTGACAATGGCTCATTCAATCCAGTCTACGACCGTGCATTCCCTTTGGATGCACTGCTTGGTGCAGGTATGTTTAATGCACGGCGCCCAGAGGATTACACCCTGCCCAGGAACAGTATTGGTGAGAGTTCCCACAAGGCCTGCAGCGCATCTTCTAACACATGACTTACTTGCAGTTCCACCGATTGCGCTGATGGAGGATATTTTTCCATTTGTTGAGCAGGCACAGCAAGACCTCAAAGACCGCAGTCAACGCTCACTGCTTGCCATGGACATTGCCCTCCGGCAGTTCCTCTCTGTGTTGCTGTGGTTCCGACTGGTCCTTCTTCAGGATGCTGCGCTCCTCTACACCAAACACCCTGAAATTCAAATGTTCCATTTCAAGCCCTTCAACACGCAGTGCTTCCGGGACTATGCGCATGAAGCTGTTCAGGCGGTCGTGCAGGCAGAGGAGCAGGCCAGGATGGCCTTTCATAACCTGCCTCAGCATCTTGTGTGCAGCCTCAAGGGCCTCGTCACAAGCATGACACTGGATCAGCAAGCTCAGCGTGCAGAGAACGAAGTCCTGCGGGCAGAGGTTCGGCAGCACATGGAAACCCAGAATGCCTTGCTCGCAGAGCTCACTGCAAGCAGCTCTCATGGGCGGCGGAGAAGGAGCCACAAGGCAGCCGTGCAGACAGGTAAGTTATTCTTCCTTGAATGATGCCCTTGTGACTTGGGAAAAAAATTGTAGCTGCCACAGCCATCCCAGCGCCCACTCACCAGATTGCTGGACCACCTTCACTCCCCTCTCTCTGCCTTCAGACTGGCTCCTCCTTTTCCCACACTGCCATGCCCAATTTCACCATCAACATCTCAGGCGCACCCACCACACACTTGAGCGCCAGCACTTTGGTTCCCGCAGTCTAGTGATGGACAGGTCCGGTTCGGTCCGGTTCTCTAGGAAATTCAGAGAACCGTGGACCGGACCATCGGTTCAGTCCTCTCAGTAAGCAGAACCGTGGACCGGACCATCGGTTCGGTCCAATAATGGTCCGGTTCCGGTTCAGCAAGGGTTTGAACCGAGAACCGGACCCAAAAAATGTCAAACTTCATATACAATCCGGTTCATCTTCTCGCGCCCTGAACGCGATCCTACCACTTGTCGCGTCTGGGCAGCCCTACAAAGCGCACCAGAAAACACGCACCTTCACTTCACGGTACAGCAAGTCTGGGCAGTACGACACTGCCATCGACGTGCTCTTCCAGAGTGCGAGAGAACTCCTGAAAGTTAGCCAGCATTGTCCCGCAGGTGACCAAGACCTGCATCACTATATCGGAGAGCTCTTATATAAAGGTATATGCGGCAGTATCTACAAAACTGACTGTCGTGCTCACGATGTGTAGATGGGGCTTTCGATGCGGCAGAACCTCACTTCCTTGCGTCAGGAAAAAGGGATAGCGCACGTTCACTAGCGAACATGATGATAGAATGGTCAGCAGCGGGCGGAGCTCTAGGGAACTTTGCCCTTCGAGGTACACTTCCGTAAGTTGGAACTCATGTCCATACCATTTCCTTCGTTCCCCGGTTCATGACTTCTCATCACAGATATCTACAAAATGGCAACATCGTCGGAGCTCGCACATTCATTTCGCAGTTCATTGCACAAGTCATTTCATCTTGACCGAAACTGATTTCGCTACTGCAATCATCTCCATTGCCTGTCACTCCTACGGGTGAAATCACACATACGACTGAGCCTGTGCTCAACTTCTGTCAGCTTGCTGTCTTGACATGTCAACATGCAAATGGGGAGAAGAATAAAGTGATGCGCGAGAGCTGGGTGAGGCTTTGTGGAACATATCAATCTAAAGGTGGCGTCTTAGCGACCAGGGAGGTTCGGATGGTGAGTCAAATGATTATTGCTTGCTTTATTTTCTAAAGACAAACCGCACTGTTTAGACACTACAGGAGATAGCAATGTTGTACTTTGCAATTCCTCCGCCACGCACTCAGCCTGATAATCCGTTGGGAGCTATGATTTCCTCTATGCTGGGCGACTCGCTCACCCATCCCTCATTGACAATCGGTTCGAACCAGGTTCGAGAATTCTGCAAGTCCTCGAACCGTGGACTGGACCGACGGTTCGGTTCCCCCTATTGCCCAAACTTTGAACCGGACTTCGGTCAGGTTCGAAACGGTTCGGGTTCGAACCGTGGTTCAGGACCGGACCTGGCCATCACTACCGCAGTCAGCCATCCCAACTTTGCGCTCTCCTCCTTTGGCGCTGACCAGCCATCAGCCATTGACACCTCACCCTCTGATCCACAGTCAGAGAAATGGGCAGCCCTTCTTGCCAAGTATGGGCGGGCCAAGCTCGACGCTCATGAGTGGGAGTGGAAGAATGGAGACTGGCTCCCAAGGTACCGTTACCAGCCTGTGGATGCCATCACAGACATCTGGACTGAGTATGCTGATGGCCTGAATGGCCATCTTTCGACACGAGAGCTAAAGGACCGGTGGGGCGCAAAGTGGCGACGCAATGAAGGTGGCCTCAAAACTGAGGCTGCAAGGCGCTCCAAGGTTATCTCCCTTGTAGAGCAGCTGTCAGCAAAGCCAAACTGGAATGTCTCCCTTGCGCTGAGATTCCTGGTTGAGAAGTATGAGAACACTTCTGCATTCATGGGCAAGGTACGAGCCTTCTGTGACTATCTACAGAAGGATAGTGGGGCTGGCTTTCAGGCTGTCCTTGCAGCCGCTTTGCATTATCCTTGATATTCTTTGACTATGGTGGGTATAGGTATGGGAGGCAGCAGTGAGTTGAGGGGTGCGCTAGACGATACCTATGCAGTGTATAACCATACATGTCATAAGTATGTGCCTTATAATTTTCACCTGACTATGTCCGATTTAAAATGAGAATGTTGAACCAACTTGAATGCACCCACTCAAACCTGATTGACTTGCTGCAGGTGAGGATGTGCCGCTCAAATATGATTGACTCCTGATTGACTTGCTGCAGGTGAGGATGTGCTGCTCAAACCTGATTGACTTGCCACAGGTGAGGATACACTGCTCAAACATGATTGACTCGCCGCAGGTGAGGATGCGCTACTCGAACACAATTGACTTGCTGCAGGTGAGGATACACCTCTGGAACCCAATTTACTTGTTAGATTCACAGGCGGATGCAGTCAAGCCACTGCCATTGTCATTATCATTATGAGTAAGTTACACTATGATGAAAATTGCTATCACTGCATGCGCAGATAGGCCAAAAGATCTCGTGCACCAGCCTTCTCACTGGTTGAAGCACACTTGGCTATCACAGCCTGCCTGGGTGAGCTTCCCCCTTCACCATATTGCCGCAAGATGTGCACTGCCTGCTGTGCTTCAGCCATCCACATTGATCCCACCCCAAGGGCATCCTGCACATCTTTTTTCTTGATGTGTGGTCCTCTCACAAGGCTCCAAGGCTGGCAGCTGTCACTCAGTTCCTAGTGGACACCCTCAGTAAGGGACTGAAGAGACAATGCGGTACTCATGCTGACAGGACATGGCTTCTGGCTGTACCTTTCACAGAATTGCACAGCAAACTGCCATGATGCCACAACAGCTGCATTGGGTTGGATGCGGTGCTGGCCAGCCTTGAAGGCAGCATACCCAGGCTCCTCCTGTGCCTTCTCAGCAAGCCATGCTGTGGCAGTGCGGGATTGAGATGCGCAGGAGCCAGATGCAGTGGCACAGCGCTGGCCATGAGCAGTGCCTGGAGCAGAAGTAGCGCCTGGAGTAGGAGCAGTGGCAGCTGCCCTCATCTGAATGATCCATACTTAGCTGTGAACTGGTGGATGACACAATGAAAGAATGAAAGACCTCACCTGCCCAAACCTAACATGCAGCGTCAGAACATTGTCCGCTGGAATATGGATGCTGGGAGCATCTGGGGCTGAACGCAGCAGTCCACCCGCAGCAGCAGACACAAGCCGCCGCAAATACTCGGGGTGAGCTGGATCTGGGTACGTGATATCCAAGGCATCTGGCAAGCGCAGTTATAATACCAGCTGGAGCAGTCAAAAGGGCTTACCTTCAATGCCAGGAGCTTTCTCATGCAGCCGTTCAATGAGCTGCATGGTGCTTCCTTGCCACTCACCCGTCAGGTCATTCAGTGCACCAACCTGCTCAAGAGTGACTGAGTACGCAAAGCGCTCAAGGTCAGCACTAGGATGCATAAAGTCCACATAGAGATCCACATCCTGTGAACAGAGGTCATTGGGTCTCCTCGGCAATGACAAAGGCCATACCTGCACAGCCGAACCTGGCAGGGCGCAGCTACCAAAGTCCATCTCAGCACCATGTTCGAGCTCAGTCCCCACCGGATCCTCAGTTTGAACAGTGGTAGGTTGCAGAGATGGCAGTGCCAGAGGCAAAGGTGGTGGCAGAGTTGGAGGTGGCGAAGGTGCTGATGACAGCACCGGCGGTGGTGGTGGTGGTGGAATTGGCCCATCCGCAGACACAGCATTGCTGCGCTGAGCTGCGACTTGTTTGGAAGCAGTGGCTTGAGGCCTCGTAAAGCCATATGCTGGGTTGAGGAGGACGGCGCGCATGTGCACCATGTTTGTCTTCGAGGTGAAGCGCCTCTTGCCCTCTTTGAATGGCCAGCGTTCGTGTTGGCGCTGGACCATCGCAACAAGATCCTCGCGCCACTTGTCCTGTCTGCAATGTGCAATCCACAACTTAAGAGGCCCGTGCATCAGAAGTCAGAACTCACAGGTCGTTGGCCTCATAAGGTATCTCAGTCATCATGCTCACTTCTCGTTCCATGTGTGTCGATGGTACCATTACTAACCGGCAGAAGTTGGGGCTGTAGTGGTGATGTGTTGAGGTGCAGAGGGTCAATGGGAGTGATCAAGAGCTTTGGCACCCCTCTTCATGAGGGGATTTTCCATTCCATCCGATGTCTTCCATGGTGAAAGTACATGATCGGGCGTGGGGCTGGATGTATTGCTGCCAATCTGAGGTCACCACCGGCGCATATTTGGTGGTGTTGTTGGGCGTGGGAACGAGCCACCAGAGGTCAACACGGTGGCTACCTCAGTGCGGATACATATAATATATGTAGGAGATTTCCAAAATATTATTCATTCTAGTGCTCCTATTATCAGTCATCTGCTTGTACTCGACTGTTATCATAATCCTAAGCTTGTAGCCTCCGTCCTAAGACTTATGGCACTGGATCGAAATGCGCAGTTTCTTTGCACGTCGTGCTCAATCAACCTCGCCCATGTACTCCGCAATTAGTAACACATCTGATCAGCTGATGCCAAAAGCATACATTGGAAGAAAACGACCAGAATGTCGATGTCATGATAAATTTATCAGCTTTTGCGTACACACACTACTTACTTATCACTTCAAATCCATGGGTGTCAATGTTCTGGGAATGCTCCGGTTGGCAACAAAAGGATAGCAAGGATAGTGCATACAACGCTATATAGTGACCATATTACAATACCAATCGCACATACCTCTTCTGATTTGAATACAAACCAAGGGTTTTGGTCGCGAATGAGTAGGGAAAGATATAGTAAAATCTGGTGCAGCGCAAGCAATCATTCATACCGACGAATTCTCAAAGGCACTCCAGTACCATCCTCTCTGTTAAGAATGTGCTCAAGGGTCGGATCCGAAGGGCTTGGCTTCAGCTCGTGCGCTGCGCCCCTTACCCGAGTACGTGCCCCTAACTTCCGAGGGTTGTCAAACGATGTCCGGAGGGCGTCGGGCGATGTCCGATGCGCGGGAATTCCGGCGGACGTTCGGAAACAAGAGATAAGACTAATCCGGACGAAGTCCGAACTAGAAAGGAAACAGCGGAGGACTACCAGAGGTAGAGGCGGAGGTGACAAGTCTATAGGAGTCGATCCTAAGACGAGTGGAGGTCGACGAGAGAGAAACTCAAGTCGGACGGAGGAGAGAATGAGCAGAGTCTAATATGATATTCGAACTAAGGATGTACATAGATTCTACAGGGTTTATATACTACTGAGGACTTATCGGAGAACAGAGATGCGCAGTCCGAAGCTATACGAAGCTGTGGACGGAGCGTATAGAAAAGTCAAACGCTAGTCTATCAGAAAATAGTAAATGAACCCGGAGATTAGAACAGATGAAAATAAAGGCGGAAATGAAATGAGGTACGGAAAATGATATGGTCTAACTGGAGTAGGAATGTACAAAGGGATAAGGCACGGAAGTTAGATGCGGGTCGGATCCGGACATTGATAGACGTCGGCCGGATCTGGACTTCCGGAAATGATGTGTGTGATAGGTCCGGGTCCGGAACGCGGGATATGACAGTATCCCCCCCTTAGGGCCGAGCCCACGAGGCTTCTGATTCGGAAGTCCGGTCTGGAGTTTTATGAATGCGAGATGATGGGCGGAGCTCGTAAAAATAGCACTGAAGCATATAAGTAGGCCGGAACGCCCAGGAAACGTTTTAAAACTTTCCCCCTAACTCCTATTACTGCTTTTTAACATGTCTAACTCCACTTCCGGCAACAAGAAGTCCGCCCGACAACTCCTCGAAGAGAGACAGGTGGAAATGGTCGCTGAAATCGCGCGGCTCGAGGCGGACACTTGGAGAGAGGCGGAGGAAGAAGAGCGCATGCGCAAGGAGGCGGAAGAGGAACGGAAACGCGTGGAGGAACAGAAATGGAAGGACATTGAGGAAACTCGGAGAGTGTTGGCTGAACGCGAGTGGGAGCGTCTGATGAAGGCTAGAGCGGATAATGCGTCGGAGGTGAGTCGGATGAGGTTTTTTTTTATGTTTTCCGGAGATTCATAGAGTCTTTAGTCCTCCGGTCCGACGGATCCGGAGGTCGCATGCGAGATGTGCGTCACCAGGCGCAAGGCTTGCACCTGGGCAGTAGCGTCCAAGACGCCTAGAGTGAGTGTGTGTTTTTTCCGGATCCGGATGATTGCTAATGATTCCGGAAGATCCGGACATGTGACCAATGCCGCGCGTCTAAGGAAAAATGCGTCGGCGGAAATCCGCCTGTCAAGGCGCCGGCCGGCAAAGGCAAAGGCAAGAAACGCGCGCGTCCGGAGGGATCTCCGAGTCCCAAGGGCAAAGGCAAGCGGTGCCAGAGGAGTCCGGAGGACCTTGACGACGACATGGAGATTATCTCCAGTCCCCGGACGGTTATTGGGGAGGGGCAAGACTGGACGGAGTACGACGACCAGGCCTGGGTCGCGGCCGCCAACAATATAGTGGCGGAACTGGCCCGGACGAATGGGCTGATGGAGAGGGGTATTGCAGCGGCGGAGGGAAGTAGAGCTGCGATGGACCGGGTGAGTGAGACCATGCTCCGGTTCATGGAGGAGCAGAGGGAGTTTCAGACTCTCTTCATGGAGAGTCTGAGGGGCGGTTTCCGGATGCATGTAGAGGATGCTCCGGAGGAGGAAAATGGTGAGGAGGCGGAAAAAGAGGCCGGCGGATCCGGCGGAGACATGGAGATGGACTCTTAGGTCGTCGGATCCGAAGTCCGGATGTCGGACGCCTAAATAATGTACATATATGCATGTTTTTTCCTTACTCTTTGTTAGAAGTTGGTCCCGGCTTGTCCGGATATGCTGAATGGAAATCCGATAGAAGTTCCAGCACATTTCCGAGTTCGGTTGCGAGTATCCAGGAAGTTTCTTTGTCCGTCCCTTCATATCCGGCCCAACGTACTAAGTATAGTAGTTGGCAGTGACGTCTCCGGCGGTCAATCTTGGAGTCCAGGATTTCGGAGATTTCGTATTCCGGTTCTCCGTCGACTAGTACCGGAGGCGGAGGAGGTTGGATGCGATTAGGGATAGTGTTCGGAGTTGCGGGTTCTAACTGAGAGACATGGAATACGGGGTGTACGGATCGCATAGCGTCCGGAAGATGGATGGTGAAGGAGTGGGTACCGGGACGAGCGATGATGTCGAATGGTCCGAGATTCTTTTCCGAGAGCTTTTTCGATA